TGCATGTTTAAAGTTAAACAGCTCTAAGTTTTAAAGTATAAACCAGGCAAGCAGTTGCAACTACAAGCTGACTAAACATTGAAGCGAATAGACCAATTTCGTAATGTAAACAAATTTAATAATGCATAAATCTTTTTTAAGTGCCATGTTACTTCATTCACCTGTTAAAATTGATAAAAACCGCTCATGGTGTAAAACTTTGAGTTTACTTTCAGTTTACAAAATCATGAGTGTTTTTTGCAAGGTCTTTAACTGCAAGATAACCTCAAGGTTTAAAACTGCAAGCTAAATTTCAAGTTGGCAGACTTTAATGTCAACAGCTGATATTTGTATAATAATCACTAACAGGGTTGACACTCACGTAATAATGAGCTTGTGATGGACGGCAAACAATCACATGAATACATGTAGATATCTCATTATGGTTGTAATAACTTTTCATATGCCACACAAACAATCTTCCTGAGGGCTTATGACCTTTCAGAGGTCGCTTAACTTGTGAGCTCTAGCCTAAACACATCAGACTAACTGACTACACGACAGAAAAATGGTCTGTATGGACAGACTACCCTCTCTTGACTCAGACATCACACGTGAACCAAGAAATATCTGAAATGTTTGGAACCACTAGGCTAATAAACAGACTCCCCTGATTGCGATCACCACCCATACACAACACAGATGTCCGTCAGTGCTCAAAGGTGGTTGCGTGATATCAAAAGGTCACTTACAACTCAAACATGCTCTCATCATCATCAAACACCCTTTTGGCACTAAACATAGATATTGGGACCACCATCCATACATAACACAGATGTCCGTCAGTGCTCGAAGGTGGTTGCGTGGTATCGAAAGGTCATTTACAACTCAAACATGCTCATCATCATCAAATTCGTCTGCTGAATGCCAGAAGGGTTTAAACTTTATATACACACCCTTTTTGCGCTCAGCATACATATAACTATCACAATTAGAATCTGCATACATGTCAGTCAGTGCTCAAAGGTGGTTGCGTGGTATCGAAAGGTCATTCACAACTCAAACATGCTCTCACGTCATCAAATTCGTCTGCTGAGAGCAAGAAGGATACTTTCTCTATATGCACACACCCCTTTTGCGCTCAGTATACATGTCAGTCAGTGCTCGAAGGTGGTTGTGTGGTATCGAAAGGCCGTTCACAACTCAAACATGCTCTCATCATCAAAATCATCTGCTTAGAGCCAGAAGGGTATTAACTGTAGGTACACACCCTTTTTGCGCTCAGCTTACATTACCATCACAAGACTCTGCATACATGTCTATCAGTGCTCAAAGCTGGTTGTGTGGTATCAAAAGGTCATTCACAACTCAAACATGCTCTTACGTCATCAAATTCGTCTGCTGAGTGCATGAAGGGTTTTAACTCTATAAACACACCTTTTTTGCCCTCAACATACATATTGCTGTCACCCCAGCCCCCCCCCCCCCCCCACTCCGGGGTCAGAGGAACCGCATGCGTGTTCCTGAAATCTCCGGTACAGGGGTACTTTTTTACGCGCGACAAAGTCCTGCCCGCTATTGACTTTAACACCGGAGATTGGGGGGTGCTTTCAAAAGAGGGAACATGCATATGTGTACCCTAAATAACACTGAGTGGGGGAGGGGCCGGGGCTGTCACAAGACTCTGCATACATGTCTGTCAGTTGCTCAAAGGTGGTTGCATGGTATCAAAAGGTCATTCACAACTCAAACATGCTCTCCTCATCATCATCATCAAATTAATCTGCCTCGAGCCAGAAGAATATGAACTTTATATACACACACCTTTTTTGCACTCAGCATACATATTGCTATCACAAGCCTCCGCAACTGTCTGCTAACATCAACACTTAAAGCCATTTTGTATGGTATCGAGAGCTATACATTTATATTTACTATACTATACATACTTTAAAAAAACTTGCTGTAGGCTTTCCTGACATAGCAGTAATGCCTGCAAAGTGGATTCCAACTATAGAGATGCGTAACAGGTGTATAAACTGGTTGGTATCCAGGGGTTCATATATTGAATACACATTAGTAAATAGGGCACCGTTTCACGAAACTGTATCCAGTACAAGTACGCAGTTGAAACGCTGATTGAAACGCTGGTATTAACATTAAGGCATGCTTTGATGACGACACAATAGATTTTCACAACTGATTGTGAGCAGGTTTTTATGTTACTGGGCCCCACTTGTCTATTTCGGTGATGTCACAAACACGAAACACATTCTGACAACGGTGCCAACAGATTTAATAGTTCAAAATTTGACCGGCACCATTCCCCACATGGCTGCATTGTATGTATTGAGGACAGATTACGCTATTCAGGGTTCTAATTGTGCATGGCTGCCTGATGGTAAGGCGGGTCTAAAATGACAGCTGTAAGTCCATATGATAAATGACATGTCATTCTCGTAAGTGAGGGCATAAAGATGGTATGATGTACTGCATATCAAAATAATCATCTCTCTTTTTTGCACTTCCTGGTTAAATTTTGTCTCACATATCGTTGATAATATGACGAGACGAATCCCTACATTGATACATAATACATATGATATATAATGCTGACAAATTGCATATTGTACTGTAGTGTGTGTATACTAATTATATTTCATTGTTTGCAGCTTTGTTGTATTTTCCTCCTTATTTGTGACATACAGGATACTCAATTAATGATTTCTGCTCATCAGTATGTCAACCAATGGAGCTAATGTAAACTTTCCCAGCATTTCCCAGCATTTCCTGTGTTATTCAATTTTCTCCATAATAACTTAAATAATCAAGTTAGAAAGTGACAAGAATTGTCTGGGAGCAAGAGAGAGATAGGAGGGAGAGGGAGGGGTAAAGAAGGAGAGAGAGAAAGAGACACAGAGAGACAGACGGACAGAGAAAGAGAGGATGAGAGATTGGAGAGAGAGAGAAAGATAGAGAGTGATGGAGAGGGTGTAGGGATAGGGTGTGAGGATTTGGGACAAAAGTACAAGAGAATTTCAGGCAAGAGAGAAAAGTGGGAAAGAAGGAGAAAAGAGAGAAGATGAAGATGGCTGAAAGTGATATTGCAGCATCTGTTTGGAGCCAGAAGGGCATTAACTGTCATACTTTATCACAGTTAACAACACCCTTCTGGCTCTGAATGACGATCAGACAAAAATATCTATCACCATGGAGATATCTAATGAAGATGTGGACCTTTTATGATGATTAATTGATAAAAATCAGCAAATTATATGTTTTGAGAAAAGCTTCAAGTAGTTTGTCTTTGGAAAGGATTACCCTGGTGATTGTTTGTTATTGGGTCTGTTGCTGTTTCGGTCATTGACTCATTGTATTTAAGTCCATCATTGTTTATGGTATTTGTTTGTTTGTTTGTTTGTTTTAAATTTAAATTTCCTCTTTCTGTTCAATTGATGACTCAAGTAAATTTAAACATCAAATTAGAAATAAACAATATTACAACATTATTTGTGCTTGGTGTACTTCCTTCATTAGGCCTCTTATTGTCATGGCAGGGATGTAATCCATTATTTTATTTTAATAATACATGCAGATACTTTAAGATCTAAATTTGTCAGTTACCAGTATATATAAATTAATTAGAAAAGAAAGAAAAAATCTCAATTACTCCTTTAAAGAAGCCTGTTTTTATCTTCATTTTCTTCTACTTCTTCTTTTTCTTCTTCTTCTTCTTCTTCTGGTAATCTTCGAGTGGCTATGTAGCCTATCACAAAGATGAAGTAAAGATTACAAGTGATGTGAGGAAGACAAATTATTTTTAAGTAGGATTAGGGCATTAGATGCCTCAGAAGAGTCAACCCTTGAAAGCTTGATTGGATTTTAATTTAACTTCATATTGAAAAAAAAGAAATATGAAGATATGCATCAGGAGTTATCCTATTTTTCATTCATTTTTTAATCCATTTCTTTTCTGACAAAATTGTGAGATAAGCATAGTGGACAAAACAATGACTATATTTAAAACTCTCCATTTTCAGACTTTGAGACTGATTCTATAGTGAAATGCACATGTGGTAGAGATATATCTAATGCCATGGCAGCATATCAAATGTCCCTCTCTCACCTGCGATGAGAGAATGGCATTTATCAGACTTGCAAGGGATTGTACAGCCATTATCACCTCCAAAATAGAAGTGTATGAAAATCCAAATGTATTTTTGTCCCGATGGTATTGCCTGATGTGTCTCTGACGTTGCGATTGACCATGGGTATTAATACTGATACCTAAGTTACACTTTCTAATTGACTCCAAATCAACTCCAATCCAACCGTTTCTGGGCCTTTCGGGGTAAGCTAAATTTGGTTAGGTCTATTATCGATCTGGGCCCCATCTTATTATAAAAAGTTGATATCAATCAAAATTTTCATGATTTTTCAAAATTATTCTTTTTGTCATATAGCGCCCTGTTCTAGCAACTTATTCATGTCTGTTAGGCAGGCGGAATATCGTTTTATTTGGTGAAATCTTTGCTTAAAGTTAGGCATGCTTGAAGCCAATCACAACGTCACCCTGGCAGAAACAGGGATCTAAATATTGATCTTTCATTGCCTGTACAACATCAGTTAAAAGTATTAGATGTCTCTTTTTTTCCATTTCCAATAATGACACAAACAAGGCGCACACTATCCATGCACCTATTTTTACAGGGGCTGAATATTTAAAGTAATTTTAAAAATAAATTTAGAGGCTTGAGATAAGAACTTTGGGGCCCGTGTGCACCAGGAGACTGATAGTGCCAAGCTCATGAGAGGGCAGCGTGAAATTAATTTTCGCAAGTTGTCTTTAGTGTTCTAAACGTACCTCTAAAGTTTTAATGTGTCACATTCTCCCGAAACATAAATCGTGAATTTTTTTTCAGTAATTTTCAAATACTTGAAAAAATTATAAAACTATAATAAGGCTATGAATAATTAAGTTGTTACCTGTAATCCCTCCTTTTGTTTATCTCCTGCTGCAGGTACCCACCTTTCTACGATGAGAATCCATTTGGCATCTATGAGAAGATCTTAGCCTGTAAGATTGACTGGCCTCAGTCAATAGGATCAAAACCAAAGTAAGAACACTCTTTCAAAAAGTACTTTATCTCATTTGCAAGCCTGAAAAATGAAAAGGTTAAATTCCAACTGTATTTGAAAGATAATACTTAATTTAGAACTTACCTCAAAACGAACAGGCATGAAAATGGCTTTTAGTGGGAATATAAGGACCATAAGTTGTCAAATCGACTCTAGTGATTGCAATCCATTTAGTAATGGTCTGATTTTGTGCTGCGCAAAGATTCAAGCAGTTTAATTTCGGCCATTACAAGAAGTAGGTTATTGATGTAGACCGCTCATACCCTGTATGTTATTACCAAAGAAATCAAAAAGTCAGTCAGTCACTCATTAGTGTCTGACAGTGAGGTCTAGAAAGTATTAATTGCATAATTTGAATATTAGGATACTGCTAACATTTAAATTTCACAGATAGGACATATGTGACATATTCATAGTTCCTGCAAAGTTCTACAGAATTTGATGTTGGCTGCAAATGGGACATATTACCAATTTAATGATGTGTTAATTTTCTATGTGATCTAAAGGATTGTGAAATTGTCGTCAATGGGTGTAAATGAAAGTTATTTTTTAAAACCTACTCTTTTTATTCTCGAATCAATCCAAAAATGTGCCATTCTGTTAAAAACTTACGGAGACCATTTGTAAGTGGACAAAAGAAAAAAAAGCATCACTTTGCAGACCTTCGTTGTATTATGTCCGAGTTTCAGTCTTTTCCCCCCCCCCTCTTTTCTTTGGCTGTTGAATAGCTCCTTGAACGCATATTACAAGATTATGACCCTCTTGTGACTACATATCTTGTTTACTTATTTGAGAATTCCAGGACCAGTTGTTGTGGATTTGCTGACCAGTTGTTTCGGTCCAGTTATACTTGCTGTCGCTGACCTCACAATGCTTTACAAGCATTCCTACGGCCCATTCAGACTGGAAGAAATTTGTACCAAAGTCGTTTTAAGAAACGTCGTATAAAGAATCATCTTATGGCTAAAGAGGCATATAGACTGGTTAACAGCATTGTATAAAGAAACATTCTGAAGACAGGCTGGTTTAAAGAAAGATGTCGGTTGAAAATGACGGCTAGCCAAACATCAGCCCACGCTCAAGATAAGCCCCTCCCAGTTATACAATTTTCATTCGAAACAAGGTTCAGACGGAAACGTCTTTATTTAGTTTATGATCCAAATGATACTCAAACATGTGCCTCACTACACAATACATTGTCAAAGGACATTCGGACTAGACGACATTAATTACTTATCCTTTACACGTCGCTCTTTGATGTTTGTATAACTATACCATGAATTGTGATGTTCTGAATGGGTGGTTAGCGCTCAGCCTCTGATTCCAATTCCCCTTAGAGTATATCAATGCTGTCTCCTTGTATCGAATTTTGTACCGTTCATGGAAACGCTTGTATGTTTGTTTGTTCGCAATTTTGTTTGGATTGCTTGCATACTTGTTGACATGATGGGTAATTTGTTTTCCATTTCAGGAATTGATAGTCCCACCAATTCATGACATGTTGTCAAACAACTGTCGCTGTTTTCTGTGATATTATTAAAGCATTTCCATTTTATGTCATTTGAGATTGACGACAAGAGATAAAGCAAAAGTATTTTTCCTATAGCCAGGGCCCAACACTAACGCGTTTTTTTTTGTTAATGAAGGGAGCCCAGATTGAGGATTTTAAGGTCTGCAAGCCTGTAACGATTTTGGAATCTGGGATCTGGAGCTCCATCGGTTTATATACGGGCGGCCATGTTTTCTGGGTGCCTGATAGTAGTGAGCCTGCTTAAAGCTTTAGGGTTAGGGTTGCAAAATTTGTTTTATGTTGGGGTTGGGGTTGCAATCTGCTTTATGTTAGGTTTAGGGTTAGGGTTAGGTACCGTGTTGAGTCCATGGATGCAGTAAAGAATTCAGCTAGTGAAGGAAATTGACCGAAGGGCACTCAACACAGGAGAGTGTTTCATACAACGCTGATGTAACCCCGTCCCGTGTGCAAATCTCTTTCACTATAATTATGGCAATTTCTTTGATTTCACGTTTCTTTGTGAACTAAGTTCTTCTAAATGGTGTAAATACCCTGTAATGTTACTGAGCTTTTCCACAAGTCTCCTCTGAGAGTACTACCAAGGAATCTGTCAGAAATGTTGTGGTTCTTGTGACTTTTGCGGTAATTGTGGCGAAGTGGTGAATTTTATGACACAAATCCATACCAGCCATTGAAATCAAACCCAAAGCACCCCTTTCTAACAAGAAAAAAAACTCTTTTAAACATGATGCTTAATCCACCTGAAATCTATGTATGTTAGTTGTCTCAAGTGGGTTTACTTCTTTCATTCCAAACATGTCTTAAATTCTATCAACCCTTTACCGTATCAGAATCAAACTTTAAATGGTCATTGAACATCTTAAAGGGCCATCCAACCCTTGTAATAATTTCATTTGTATGAAAACAGAAAAATAAGATAAACAGAATGGTAAAAGTTTGAAAAGAACAGTTACTGCCAAGTCATTAGAACAAATGGAAAAGCTCCCATACTTATAGGTCCGAATTCACAAAGGAGGTTTGTCGACAAACCAAGGTTTGTCGACAAACCTCCTTTTGTTTCGCCAAACCTCCTTTTGTTCTTTACAAACCAGGTTTGTAAAAAATGCGTAAAAACGCGTCATATGATGTACAAAAACTAAAGTTTGTCGATAAACCTCCTTTGTGAATTCGGGCCAAAGTGATTACAAACTTTACAAAATTCATAACCTTTTCGTTTTTTCCCAGTTTCTTTAAAACTTTCACCAATCTGTTTCTCGCATTTTTCTTCCGTCTTTTAGAGTTGTTTGGTCTTCAAGTGGGATTTCACTTTAAATTTTCTCTTATTACATCCCTTCATCGGAGAGTTTATTACCTTCCCACAAAGGCACTTTAAGAGGTGTTTTGACAGGAGAGCAGATTTTAGGTTTCTGTTGAAGGACCCACCGGCTTTGTTGTATCAATCTTACTGCGTTAATGTGCCAGGCCTTTTGTGAAAGCTTTAATTTACCGTAACATCAGAGTAAACATTTAATGACGAAGAAGTAAGAGATTTCATGGTCAGTAGACAAAACATTAGATGCGTTGAGAGTGGTTTGAGGATTCTTGGGGGGGGGGGGGGGGGGGGGAGGGGGTGCACAGGTTCAAGCAAAAAGGGTCATCAGATTTGTGTACCATTTTGGCTAAATCTCCGACCAATGACCATTAAACATAACAAACAATGTCCTCATCCTCCTCTCCTTATTTCTATATTTTGTTTTCATTTTGTTAATGTTGTTATTATTATTATTTTTTTATTTTATTTATTTATTTATATTTTTATTTATTTATTTATTTATTTATTTATTTATTTATTTATTTTTTTTTGGGGGGGGGGGGGGGGGTGTCCCTGTGCCCCCTGATCCACCACTGGTATTCAAATGTTATTTGAGGTCATGAAATAGGGGTACATTCTGTTCATTCATACAATCCTTTCATTTTAGATGAATACCGATAGAATTCAATAAAAAAAGGATTTAACAGATCATTACCTAAAGCTCAAAAGATTAAGAAAAGACAGATTGTCCCTGATTAAGTGACTAATGTCTTTTTTAAATGCAAGGCTCAAGTAATTAGATAGAGTACAATTGTGATGGATTTGAATACCAATAAGGCCTAGCTTCAAATATCCATGTATTCCTTCTTTCTGATCTACAAGTATAATTTGACAACTTTGGACGTGTGATGGAATGCCATAATCAAATTGAAAATGAGAATATAATATAAAACTCTATCTTTCCCATACACATTACAGATTTATACACATTTGGCCAAGGTCTCCTACCTGAATATGAGACTTATCTTGCTCCCGGTATGTAGAATCGGGCACCCGGCCTACTGCCCGGATATCATCACACTGCTGCCTGAATAATTGAACTTTAAAAATCCCCCCCCCCTGGTTCATATGCCTATGGTTTTATTGTTTAAATTGTATTTGTAATTTTGATGTGTTTTTTGTGTGTGTTTTTGTAATTCAAGAATGAAAAGTGAATTGTTTAAATTTAGGGCCCTTGTAGAATACTTGTAGATGTAAGCTTTGATATGTGACATTCTCAAGAAACGCAAATCGGGACAAATCTATTTTTCACATATATGAACTTTACAAAATTACAAAATTTAGTAAGGCGAGGGTATGGAAAATTCAGTTGTTAACTTTAGGTTGGATAGCTCAGTCGGTAGAGCAGTGGTCTCGTAATCTGGTGACCCGGGTTCGAAACCAACGCAATGCACTAGTGCCCTTTGGTAAGGAATTAATTCTCATTACCAGGTACAGGTCCCTCGGAGAGGACATAAAGGCGTCGGCTGTCTGGTTGCTTACTTACAAGCATTTATGCTTTCTTAGCAGTCAGGTAAAATAACCACTACCATTTGAAATTACACATGTATTCTACAATTTGCGATAGGATTTCAACTGAAGTGTATCGAGTGTCGCATAGTAACCTGGTCAGAAGTATACAAAGCTGGGTAATCAGCGATGACATTTAATGAAGTGTATCCAATGAGCTGTGATCTTTGATAGGATTAATGCTACCATTGGTACTAAGCTTCCTTGAAAGCCTTTCATACAGAGTTTAAGCCAACCAACGTCATGTATCGGGCTTCTGAGAAACTTCTGAGGCAGTGAGCCGACACTGGTAGAAGTAACTCCAAGGGTCGAGGGTTCAAATCTTAGCCAGGCACCAACGGTCCTTTTAGAACGTCCTTTAGCAAGGCGTTAATCCACATTTACCTCTCTCCATCCTGATATTAAATGGGTTACCAGTAGGATGCATTGTATAGTTTGCTTAGCATTGTGAGCATCTGCAAAATAGCTCCTGACCAGAATCCTCCCCAGGGAGGGGAGAATGTATATAAATTGTGTGCAGGCTTGCCTGAATCCTACGACTGGGGTGATAGCATTATATATGTTTTATATAAGTGTTATACCCAGAA